CCTAGAATATGTCTATAATAACATATATAAGATTTTATTAAAGCAGTATCATAAAAATAAAAGCACAAATACAACATTTAAGTTACGGGTAGGAGAAACTGAAATCAGTTTATTATATGAAAACTAACTTCCCCAAACTGGATATGCAAAGCATTACTTTCAGTGGTACTAGAAGAGTTTATTTAAAAGAATCTTCTGAGTGAATCTTTTAAAAAGAATATTCAATAGTCATTTATTTGCTGAGCACTCCTTTTTTTTTTTCCCCCATTTATTTATTTTATTGCATTTTAGGTTTTGGGGTACATGTGAAGAACATGCAAAATTGTTGCATAGGAACACACGTGGCAGTGTGATTTGCTGCCTTCCTCCCCATCACCTACATCTGGCATCTCTCCCCTTGCTATCTCTCCCCAGCTCCCCACCCCCCACCGTCCCTCCCCTATTTCCCCCCAACTGACCCCAGTGTGTAGTGCTCCCCTCCCTGTGTCCATGTGTTCTCATTGTTCAACACCCGCCTATGAGTGAGAACATGCAGTGTTTGATCTTCTGCTCTTCTGTCAGTTTGCTGAGAATGATGGTTTCCAGGTTCATCCATGTCCCTACAAAGGACCCAAACTCACCGTTTTTGATGGCTGCATAATATTCCATGGTGTATATGTGCCACATTTTCCCTATCCAGTCTATCGTTGATGGGCATTTGGGTTGGTTCCAGGTCTTTGCTATTGTAAACAGTGCTGCAATGAACATTCGTGTACACGTGTCCTTATAGTAGAACGATTTGTAATCTTTTGGATATATACCCAGTAATGGGATTGCTGGGTCAAATGGAATTTCTATTTCTAGGTCCTTGAGGAATCGCCACACTGTCTTCCACAATGGTTGAACTAATTTACACTCCCACCAACAGTGCAAAAGTGTTCCTATTTCTCCACATCCTCTCCAGCATCTGTTCTCTCCAGATTTTTTAATGATCGCCATTTAAAATAACCGGCGTGAGATGGTATCTCAATGTAGTTTTGATTTCCATTTCTCTGATGACCAGTGATGATGAGCATATTTTCATATGTTTGTTGGCCTCACGTATGTCTTCTTTTGTAAAGTGTCTGTTCATATCCTTTGCCCACTTTTGAATGGGCCTGTTAGTCTTTTTCTTGTAAATCTGCTTTAGTTCTTTGTAAATTTTGGATATCAGCCCTTTGTCAGATGGGTAAACTGCAAAAATTTTTTCCCAATCTGTTGGTTACCGATTCACTCTAATGATTGTTTCTTTTGCTGTGCAGAAGCTGTGGAGTTTGATTAGGTCCCATTTGTCTATTTTGGCTTTTGTTGTCAATGCTTTTGGTGTTTTGGTCATGAAGTCCTTGCCTACACCTACATCCTGAATGGTTTTGCCTAGATTTTCTTCTAGGGTTTTTATGGTATTAGGTCTTATGTTTAAGTCTTTAATTCATCTGGAGTTAATTTTAGTGTAAGGTGTCAGGAAGGGGTCCAGTTTCTGCTTTCTGCACGTGGCTAGTCAGCTTTCCCAACACCATTTATTGAACAGGGAATCCTTTCCCCATTGCTTGTTTTTGTCTGGTTTGTCAAAGATCAGATGGTTGTAGATATGTTGTGTTGCCTCTGAGAACTCTGTTCTGTTCCATTGGTCTATATCTCTGTTTTGGTACCAGTACCATGCTGTTTTGATTACTGTAGCCTTGTAGTATAGTTTGAAGTCTGGTAGTGTGATACCCCCCGCTTTGTTCTTTTTGCTTAGAATTGACTTGGCTATGCGGGCACTGAGCACTCCTTTATGTACCTTGTCAATTTAGGATTCCCTGTAGTAGGTTTGCATATAATTGGATGTATTTACCAGAGAACTCTACATTATTTGCCGTACATTATTTGAATACTCACTTCGTTGAATTTCAGATCCTGTTCTCAGATTTCTTCATTTATGAATTCAAATAAGAAGTATTTGTTTTTTGACAAATGAATATAAATAAGTATTAGTCTTTTTTGTATGCATTATTTAATAACAGTCACAGTTATTGGTGACTTTTTAAAATTTCTCAAGTTACCCTACTTCATTGCTAAAATTAGCAGTTTTAAATAAGGTTTTAGAAAAGTCCAAACAGTCAGAATTATATGCTTTTGTTCTTCTTCAGGATATTGGGAAAAGGTTTCATAGAACCTCATGATTTTTAGTGTTTGCTTCATTTAAACATTTTCCAGACAAAAATTTTCTTTTATTTTTATTTTTTGTTTTTTTTTGTACAAAAAGATTTCTAATTGTACTGTTTTCTAGTCACATTCTGTGATCAGCATATTGAAGATCTCTAAGATACAGAATACACTTTTATGTGGTTTGTTATGAGTTACTGTGATATCCTGGTGTCAGAAGTATGATATCACAATAACTCGTAACAAACCACATGAAGTATTTTTAGATGGTAATTCCAGGGAAAATATAATTCATTATGTTCATTCAATTTTCACACAACTTTCTTAGGAACAGATAGTTCTTTTATACCAAATGAACTATAGGTATCTTCAAAAGCTTAAAAAAAATTAAAAATCTTTTATTTAAAAGTTCAGTGATTTGCTCAATATTGACATGTGTCTGTAAACTCATTCTGGCTTTTCTAAAATAGTTAAGTGGCTAGAATACCACATGTAGTCACGTAGAAATGTGCCTATTTTCTGAAATATATTGATCCTGAAACCACAGAACTCCACTTTTAGATTGTTTGTGTTCATGTAGTGAAGATAATTTCTTAGGACATTGTCTTTTATATATATTACATAAATGAAACAGTTGCCATTTGTTCCAACTGATTGGACCATTTGCAAGACAGATTTCCTGAGTGCTCTGTCCATCATGATTTTCAGTCTAGAATTTCTTTCCAGCTCTTGGACCTTTTTCAAGATAGAGATAATTTCTGAGCCTCTCTTTAGTAGTGATTTTTCCAGGTGTCTCTACTGGATTTTGAAGGTGTCAGTCAAGAAGAACTAGGTGACAGGAGGAGTTGGAGCAGTAAGGCAAGGCCCCCTTAAATATGACTTAAGGCAGCATTTAGTAAAAAAGGAATAAGGCACTCTTTAGAACAAACAACAGATTACTTAGATTTTTTAGATTAGTACTTTCCAAACTTTCGATGATGAAGGATGAGAGTTTTAATTTCCGGTCCATGTGGACAGGGTGGATAAGGCGAGCATATATATCACATGCTTGGCCCAGATGCTGCGAAAGTGTTTTCTAATTGCCATAATGCTGACACTGGCTCTGCTGACTACATGTTGAACAGTGTTGTTGATTCTCTAACATTGTTTCTTTCTTTTGCTGCCAAGGTTGCTGATTTGCTCAATATTATAGGGCTGTTAAAATTTTCTGTTTCAGTTTCAGTAGCAAACAACTCTACTCAGGCAAAATTTGGTCATTTGTCTGAAGGTAATGTTCATTGCCAGTGTAAAGTCAGAAAAATATGCCTCTGGCATTTGTAGTTGTGGGGGATTTTCAGTCTCTGCGTTATGGATTTTTGAAATCTTTTACATTATCTTATAGTTTTAGAATCATAGAAAAACAATAAAGATACTGTGTAAAATAACAAAACAAGAAAAATCAGAAATATTGAGGTAGAGAAAGCATGAACAATTTAAAAACTATTAGTTTCATATAATTAGAGTAATGGGTACATATATGGGGAAAGTGTCAAGAGATAAGGCCTAAAAGATTGTCAGAGATAAGATTAATAAATGAATTAAGCCATAAAAAGGAGTTTACTTTTTATTGTTAGACAATGGAAAACAGTTAAAAAAGTAATACAGAACAGGTTAGTTTTTAGCAAAGATAATTTTAATGCTTTTATTTTTTTAAAGAAACAGGTTCTTGCCTTGTTGCCCAGGTTGGAGTGCAGTGGCTCAATCATAGCTCACTGCAGCCTCAAACTCCTAGGCTCAAGCAATTCTCCTGCCTATTTCTCTATATATTTTAAAGTAAGATTAGTAGAAGGTATACTTCAGTTTTGTAAAGTATACTTTAGCTCTACACCATAATCAAATGTCTTTGAATTAAAAGTAGTAGCTTGAAAAAGGCAGGAGAACATAGAAATATGATGCAGTAATTGAGAAGATTATTATTTATTATGTTTTGAAACATCCTTCTCACTACGTATTTGGTAAAAATGAATACAGTGATATTGAGGCAGTATGTTGTGCTGTTGAATATAATGAAATATCTTTCATTGAAATCTCAGCTTTGATATTCATTATGTTTTCAATCTTAGGCAAATGACTTAGCTTCTTTGGGCCTTGGTTTCTCATCTACAGAATTAGGATAAATAATACTTTCCTTATAGGACTGTCATAAAGTTAAATGATGTTCTCTGTATAGACAGATAAACAGTGGTCCCTTGATGTCTGTGGGGGATTAGTGTCGGGACTCCCTCTTTCCCATGGATACCAAAGATCCATGGATACTCAAATCCATTATATAAAGTGATACAGTATTTGCATATAACTTACAGACATCCTCCCATATACTTTAAATTGTCTGTAGATTACTTATAGTACCTCATACAATATAAATGCTATGTAAATAGTTGCTGTATTATATTGTTTAGGGAATAATGATTTAAAAAACTCTGTACGTGTTCAGTACAGACACAGCCATCTATTTTCCCCCCTAATATTCTCAATCCCATGAATATGGAACCCACAGATATGGAGGGGGCTGACTATATAGACCTATTTGTTATGTAACTGAGAATAATACTTGGTAAATAATAAACATTGAATAAGTACTTTTGTTGCTGCTTCTGGCATCGTTATGATTAGTAGCAGAGGACATTTCATTAACTACATTTTACAAATATGTAAGAATAATGTGACTACAATACCAAAAATTTACTAGTTACTGTTTGAAAATAGTCACCCACTGGATATCAGATTTTATCTTTTTCTCCAGTTATCAAGACTAAGATAGTGAATTTATATTTAACTTAGTGTTTTCTCTTCTATAGTTTATCAGAGAAGATATGAAATATAAAGATGCTACTAATAAACACAGCCATTTGCACAGAGAAGATAAACATATAACGGTTGAGGATTTATGGAAACGATGGAAAACATCAGAAGGTAAGACTGCTTTCGTGATCTGGCTCTCTCCCTTTCTGTGCATCTGGCCTGCTTAGTTGTTGAGCTGTTGTTAACTCATTTATGCTTTTACCAAAAAAAATCAAAATAACATTTCTGTGAGGATATTTATATTTCAGTAAATAATTTTCTCTTCATGTTTTTAAAAGTTTTCTTTTTATCTTTCTTAGAGTCATTAAGCATCAGGCTGTTCTCATTTAATTATAGTAGAATGAATAAGATAATGCATGTCTGAGAGCCTAAAGTTGTAAAGGATTATTTCAGCTATTCAATAACATTATTATAAAAGGCTTAGCAAATAAACATATGGAAACACAAAGTTTTCTGTTTAGTTGTGGAGAATAGTTTCTAATGTTTTTAGGAGGCTATTATCGTTAAGCTTTTTCTTAAGTAAATCCTTCATGACATCTCATAATAGTTGCATGATAAAATTGGATAATTGGTATTTTATTCCCTTTTCTACTGTGAAGTTCTCAAGCTGTATTATGGACAGTAATTCTTTAGGACAAGAAAAATTTGTGACCTACAAACCTCATCTTGGTCTCTAATACTAGTAAGTTACTAAAATTAAAAAAAATTTTACAACTCGACTGAGCTTACATTTTTTTTTCCCAATAAGACTCAACTAAAATTCCTTTTTTCTAACACTTCTGTTCTTTCATGAAAGTCAGCAGTTATATTGTAAGCATATATTCTTCTCTGAATAATGAAATGAAATTAAAGGGACAGATTACCAATAAGAGTGTGAAGAAATAATAAAGTTTACTTGAGTTATGATGATAACATTTAGAAGTGGGAAAATAAAGAAAAGTGTTCTACCGATGCTTAGTATTTTTCTTAGTGCAGGTGATGGTATATAGCTTGCTTATGTGTTTTTCTGTTGAAATATATTTGGGCGGGGGGAAAGAAGATTATGGACTTAAAAGAAAGATTACGTAGACTTTAAAAAGCCTCTCCATTTCTCTTCCCTACACCATTTAAAAATAACATGAGCTTGAATAGGAATAGAAAGAAACACGTAACAGTTTCATGGCGAAAAGTGAAAATGTTGGGAAACTCAGCAACAGACTTAGTTTATTGACATGAAATAGCTCAGCAATCCATAGATATTGAGAAGGAAGTTGGAGATCCGTTACAGAGTCTATTGGTATTAGTATTTTTTTAAGGATTAAAATACGTAATACATTGATTGGAACTCACTTGACTATGTTTGAATGGAGAAAAAAAAATTGGCCACTTAGCTCTTGTATTACCTTTGTTCAGCCACCATCATCTCTTGCCTGAATAATTCTGGCAGCCTAATTCATCTTCCTGTGTTTGTGCTCTGCTGTAGTCTCTTCTTCATCTAGCAGAGCCCACTATTTAAAATGTAAATTAGATCTGTTCATACTCTGTAGTGGCTCAGAGTAATAGTCCAAATCTTTACAAAGACTTGTAAGCCTCTACATGTTCTGCCTTCTACTCCCACCTCTCTCTCATCTCTTACCTCTTCTATTCAATCCATCTCTCTTGCTCACTGTGCCCCATTCATTCTGGACCTGTTGCTATTACACAGATGCAGGAATGCAGATGTCCTCATGGCTAACTTGATCTCCTCTGTTGTTAAAGACTTTATCAAGAGATACGCTTTTAGTGAAACCATTCTGGCCACTCTATTTCACATTGCTAACCTCCCCATTTACCCATTTTTTTTTTTTTTTTCTGGTACTCTTGACCTTTCTTACTTGGATTCACAGTTTCCTTTTGCCCTGTCATGTATCGCCTTGTAAGATACTATGCAATTGACTTATTCATTATTTATATCTCCTTTCTCTCTCTGCCTCATCCCCAAGAATGTAAGTCTTATTGAGCAGGGGAACTTTGTATGTTTTGTTTATTCATGCATCCTAAATTGAGAGGACTCTATTCTCAAACTCCTTTTTGTTTTCCCACTCTAGTGACTTTGGTGAGATCTTTTGTGATCTATGAGAATGTTTGTTTGCTTGCTTAATTTTTTTCTTTTTTTTTTTTTTTAGCTTAAGGACTTTTCAAGTTGAATGACCTCTTAAACCTCTTTTTCCCTAGGCTTTCACCTTAATCTGAGATCTAACCATTATGGATAATGAGGGATTTCCCCAGTTCAAACAGTTGGCCTAAGTTATCTGCTCTCTGCTTCCTTTTCTTTAAGCCCCAGTTGGCTACATAACCTTACAGAGCCTGGGAGTAGTCTCAGGACTCCTACTAATGCAGCTGTATGGGATGAAAGAGAGAGGAGTCAAATGATAATAAACTTTCACTAGAAACTTTGTAATGACCTAATTGATTCTTCTCAACCCAAGTCAGACTCTGTTTATTAAAGGGGTCATGTAAGGGTGGGGCATTGTTGCTAGAGCACTGCTTTTTAAAGCACTCAGGTTCCTGGAGGAGTCTTCTGTTATATTTTGTTTCTGTTTAAGATTTCTCTTGAGAAACAAAAAGTAGTTCTTCTGAAAAAGTTTGAAAACTGCTGAAATAGAGATTAGAATGTACCCCTAACAATAATATGTAATTCAAGGTTGTTTACTTGAATATGTACAAAAATGTGTGGGGGTATATGTGTATGTATGTACATATACTGAGTATATGTATATATACACAAAGTATGCATGTATCTATAACATACACATGCATACATGTGCAAATATATGTATTTGTTCTTTGCCCATCATTGTTGTGTCTCCACTGCCTAGTGCAGTGCATTCACTTTGTATTCGACAGTGAATGTTCTCTTTGATATTGAGTAAATAATTGTTGAATGAATGAAAGTGTAATGCCTGATGAGTATTGGATGCTCAGTAATTTAGTTCATCAAATATTTTGAGTACAGGCATTTTTGTTATAAGGCATTTCTTAAAAATTTATCTTTTAAAAAGTCATGAACTTAAAAATGACAGAGTTTATGGGAAAAATGATATCAAAGTCGACTACTCAAACCCTATACAACTTATTGGCCGTAACATTAACAGTATAAATAAAAATACTAGTACAGGCCAGTCATGGTAGCTCATGCCTATAATCCCAGCACTTTGGGAGGCTGAAGTGGGTGGATTAAGAAGTCACAAGATCGAGACCATCCTGGCTGACATGGTGAAAACCTGTCTCTACAAAAAACAAAAATTACCTGGGCGTGGTGGTGGGGCGCCTGTAGTCCTAGCTACTCTGGAGGCTGAGGCTGGAGAATCGCTTGAACCCAGGAGGCAGAGGTTGTAGTGAGCCAAGATTGGGCCACTTTACTCCAGCCTATGCGATGGAGTGAGACTCCGTCTCAAAAAAAAAAAAAAAAAATACTAGTACCAGTAAAAAGAATTTTAAATTCCCAATCAATACATACTATATGGTAGATGTAGGAATTTACATTAAAAAATAGTGAAGATAACTTTACAGAAGGATGGTTGGGGGGTACTAGTAGAGTTGAAGTTTGCTAAAAAATGAAGACAAGGGCAAAGTGCATGAAGATGAGAACTTAGCAACAAGCATTTCCAAGACACAGGCTTTGGCTAAATTGAACAAAGATGAAGAAGGAGGGGTGAATGGGGAGCTCCTGTTTGTAGCCTGCTGTATTGGCAGTTAGTATACAGCTAGTGCTTGACTTACGACCATGATTGGTTCCGACAGACCGGTCGTAACACGATTTGGTTGTAAGTTGAGTAGGCTCTATGTACAGTACTGTGAAATGTTATAAAAATCTTTAAGTCATATTTTATCATTTTCTTTCATTATTGTTATATATCATAATTTTCTTTGTTCATTTTATGCCATTTGTATCATTTCCACACCATTTTGTTTCTTATTTTTACATTCGTCAGGTTTAAGTAAAACACTGCATTACCAGTACAACTGGTTTAATATTTGCAAAACATGCAAAATTACAAAATACAGGTGCATACAAAAATACAAAATGCAGGTGTAAAAAATACCATAGGAAACACTTTCCCAATTGCAAAACATATCAAAATATATAAACATGTACGAAACATTTTATTGGCCACTGGTGCTTGGCTGCGGATCGTTGATGTCGTCATCTGAGGCAGCAGTTGGGGTTACCGGAGTTGGTTTTTTCATAAACATGGTGAGCTTTGTCTGAATTGTATGTTTCTTTTTTTCTTCATAAATTTCACGATACGGACGAAACACATCGTGCGCCATCCGTTCAATCCTTGCAAATCGTTCGGTGTTTGGGTCCATTGCTTCGAAATGTATAAGAAGTTTATTGGGAGGGGTTTGATGAAAAATATCCAAGACACAAAACACAAATTGCTGTACCGAGTCTGGGATAACAGTTGAAATGGTGCACACGGAGATGGTAGTGCTGCTGGAAGCTGGTCTGCACTGTCTTACGCCCAGCTGGGCAACGTTTGCGCTGCCAGACGCGGAGCAGTCGTGGAGCTAGTGATTGTGGTCATAAAGTCGAATGGTCGTAAGTTGCATAGGTCGTAAGTCGATCAATACCTGTACTTTACATCCATTTGATACTACTTGGTGATGTGAAATGATAGCATGTTTGGAAAAGTCACATATGAAATGATGTGACTTTTGTATTGACGTGACCCCTAATTACCAGTGGCACATAAACTAATTCATATTACAGAAGCATGTGCAGCAAAATAGATTGTTTCTATTAAGTGCTAAATAAGCATCGCACTGGATCCTGGGGATTAATGATGAGTTAAACATGGATCTGGGGTATACAGAATAAATTGCTGAGTAGGAAAGACAAAGAAAACAAATAATTACACTATAAGGTGATAGGAAATAATAGAAGTTAGTGTAGGGTATGGAGGTAGCTCACTGGAGGGAGTGATTAGCTCACTATTAAACATAGAAAATGGCGTTTGGGATAGGCTCTGAAGGTTGATCCAGGAGCTCTAGAAGGAGACAAGAAGTAGAACATAAATGGTAGCTCTCCCATGTTACCTTTTTTTACCCTTTAAATAGGCAGGGTCTTAATCTGTCACCCAGGCTGG